CGCTGTCCAGGAGTCACACCACCCGCCCTGTCAGGAACCACTGCTGAGCGCTGCCCAGGAGTCACACCACCCGCCCTGTCAGGAACCACTGCTGAAGGTGTTGCCCAGCAGTCACACCGTCCACCCTGTCATTGGCTGCCTAGGAGTCACACCATCTACCCTGTCAGTGGCTGCCCAGGAGTCATACCACCAGCACTGTCATTGGCTGCCCGCAAATCATACTGCCCGCTGTCATTGGCTGTCCTGTAATCACACCACCCACCCTGTCAGTGGCTGCCCAGGAGTCACACCACCCACCCTGGTCTGGCTGCCCAGGAGTCACACCACACGCCCTGTCTGGTGCCACTGCTGAGTGCTGCCCAGGAGTCAGACCACCTGCCCTATCAGTGGCTGCCCAGGAGTCAGTCATATCTTATCCAGCTCTTACGCTTTGTCCCAGTGTCCTAGGACGGGGCAGGTTGAAGGGGTAGGTTGAAGGGGTGGCCGTGCCCAGAGGGCTCTGCCACAGCTCAGTAATAAATGCTTTACCCTCTGAAACTCAGCACGTTTGCAGCCTTTCCTGTAAGGACTGAGCTGAGAGCCAAGAAGCCAGCAGAGGCTGCTCTCAGCAGCTGAAAGGTGTCACACGTTTCTGCTGTGTGCTTCTGTGATTTATTCATTAGAAATTAAGCTGATGGCTGTCTCTCAGACCTATTGATTCTTTATATCTGAAGTTGGTAAACTCTTTTCCAACTGTTCAGCACCCTAGTTTACGTAAATGAGGAGCTTTTATTCTTATCACCTAACATTTTTACCAATTAGAAGATGGACTGTTCCAGACAGACACTACACTGGGCAGAAGATCACCTGGAAGTCTAACGTCACAAAAGAGAAGATAGACCAATTCTGAAATTGGGTCTTAACCTTGGGAATCAGAATGCTGGGAGTATTTAGTGCTATTGGATCATTCTCCTGGCTGTCTCAGACTTTGGCCCTACCTGTCCCTTCTGGGCCCTGTCATCATGCACAGGCTGTCTCACCTCTGCTCCTCAGCTTCCCAGGCTGGGAAATGTGATGGTCATGGCAGCCGCATAGGGTGTGATGGGGTTAGAGCAGCAGGTGTAAGGTCAGCGCTGTTAGTGCGTGCATCCCCTACCCCCAAGGGCACACTCAGGAAAGATTCATAACAAGTGGTGAAAAATAAAGTGGGGATTGTTAAAGACAACAGACCCTTAGATAGCCAGAAAGGTTCCATTTTCAGACTCTGATTCTCCTGAGTGTTAGAAAAGCTGAGATCAGATGGCCTGTGTCTCTCCCAAAGCAACTGCTTGAGTCAGAGCCTGGGTAAAGAGCTGAGAGGCTCTGTGTGGGGTACAGGCTTCCTGTAGGTCAGAAGATTAGGGACCACATTCATGGAACGTTTTATGAAATTCCTTTAGGGGAAAAAAAAGCACAGATAAAACATTCCTAGCAGAACTTTAACTTATCTCTTTGAATCAAATTAGTAAATAATAAACATAGTAAGTATCAAAAAATAAAGTTAATAGTGCATCAGTTGGCTTTTAGCATGCTCTGTTAATAAAGCAGCCAGGATGTTGTTTAAAGCCAGCTTAGGGCCCTGCCTGACTTTCCTCTTTGAGCATTGCCGTCCCCACTGCCTGGCCCCTGGCCCACTCATTCACTCTTCCCCTGGCCTCTTCCACTTCACACTGAGGGAGCCCTAATATGTGTGTGACTAGCCCAGAAGTCTGAGGGGTCCCCACCTTCCATCCTCCCATCAATGTGGCTGTCTAGATAGACCAACCCTGAATTCAAAGCATCCAGGTGAAAAGTTCAAACTTAGGCGTTGCAAAAGCTTAGGATTGAAAGATAGATGGCCCTAGAGTAATAAAGTTTGGCTGTCAGACCTCAAACTATAAGTGCAGCACTAAAAGCCGCATATTTGACAAGAAATGGTCCTGATCAACCAGGTGGGGTGTGCTAGCTTGAAGTATGTAAGGTACCTTACCTTGTGAACCAGACCCTGACCTGAGGCCCTGCTAACACACAAACCAAGCCCAGGTACCAGGCCCAGGCACTCCCATCCTTGGTGGCCTGTGAATTCTGAACATGAAATGGGAGGAAGTGCATATTGTTCAGAAATCTCACCTTGTTGCCCAGTTTTACAACTTTCTCTGGCTCGTTACCTTCTGAAAGTTTTCACACTCCCACTTCTTTCTGCTCCATTCATGACACAACTATAGCTGGGGTTGCAGTCAAGAGGTAAGAAAGTGGTCAAGTTCGTGGCCCAAGGAACTGATAACACCCTGGCCCTTCTGAAGCCTTCTTTTCCCCACTGAGAGGCTGCAGATGCAGTGGCCAGTCTCCACCTTGGGTGCTTGCTTCCTTCCTCGCTCCTTGAAGCTGGAGCTGTGCACTGGCCTCGCCACATAGATCCCAGCCCTCCTTGCTGTTTGTGTCTGTTCTTCACTCCAGCATTAGAAAAGCCTGGTCCACATTTTGGGATGGGAATAGAGGATTTCAGTGTACACCCTCCCCTGCTTCCACCACTGCCCTCTGCCCTCTACACCTTCCTCCTGTTCTACTCTGTTTTGGTTTTGATCGAATGCCATCCAGTGTTGGATGTTTGTAAGCTGTGCAGGTAGGGTGTTGAAACAAATGGCCAGTCTGTTGTCAGCGTCCTGTTTCTTTCCCCACCACAGGTTTTGATTGGAACTTGGTGTTCAAGTGGGATTACATGACACCTGAGCAGAGAAGGGCCCGGCAAGGGAATCCAGTTGCCCCAATAAAGTAAGTGCTGGGCATCCTGCAGGGTGCCCCTCCCAGGTGAGACACTAGGCTCTGGCCCCTCTCCTGGGCCAGCGTTGCCCACAGACCTGCGTGGGCCATTTACCTGCTGCCAGGCCACAGAATAAGGTCCTTTGAGGTTCTTTTTCTCAGATGAAGTCCAGCGTACGTCTCTAAGGCATATCTGCCCACTGTGTGTTTATAATGGGCAGCATGTTCTTTTGCTGAGGGGGATCCCTGATCTCAGGGACCAGATGGGCTGGTGGGCCAGCTCAGGTGTGGGCTATCCCCACTGATTAATAGGTCACTGCTCTCCTGTGAGGCCCCATGCTCAGAAGCCCCTGCTTTAAGGCTCCAAGGCCATACTGTGAGATTTGGGGTCTAGAGTCAGGTGGTTCTCTGCCTGGGGGCAGTGGCGGCACCTGTTTGGAGCCAGTGCATAGCCAAGGAAAGTGGCATCTGCAGCGCCCACTGCTGGCTTGGATCTGCCTGCATCTTCCCATCATCTCTGATGTGAACAAAGTAGGGGGCTCAGTACACTGTGTGCCTGTATCAGCCCTTTCTCAGGGGACCGCCATGGGGGCAGTGGCAGGAGCCCCCCTCCTGAGCACTTCTGGAGTGTGCTTGGGACTTGGTGCCTATCTTTGCTTACTGTCTTTACAGTTACCCTGTAAGGAAACTGAGGGACAGAAAAGCAAGCACACACCTAGCCTGTGGCAGCTTGTCAACTCATGGCCCAGCACCGGCACTCGCTCCCTTATAGGGGAGGCTGGGCCTGCCCTTGGCACTGTGGGAGTGCCCGGGCAGAGACAGCAGGAATGCAGCAGTGTCTGTATGGTTGTTCTGAAGGTCAGCTCACCGGTGGGAAGTCTGGCCATGGCATATGGGTACTGGCAATCTAACTTTGACCCTCCTTTGCTCTCTCCTCTTTCTCTCCTTCTCTGTCTGCCTCTCCAGGACCCCCATGATTGCTGGTGGGCTGTTTGTGATGGATAAGTTCTACTTTGAAGAACTGGGGAAGTATGACATGATGATGGATGTGTGGGGAGGAGAGAACCTGGGTATGTACAGCCCCTCATCCTGGGACGGGGACCATGCCCGGGAAGGCAGGGTACCAGTAGATAAAAGTGTGAAAAGGCTTCAGAGTGACCGTTCATTGGGTATCCCTGACCCGTGCACGCGCACACACATACAGTGTACACCCACACAGCACCACCCCTCCTCTCTGACAGTGTCTTTCTTGGGCTGGGAAGTGGAGGGTGGGTGCTCTAGCACAGAGACAATCTTTGAAAGAAAGTGCAGACTCTTCCTTGTCCTTGAACCTGAGCACTCAGGGCAGGCCCACGCGAGTGGGGAGCAGTCCAGTGCTGGCTCCTGCCTAGCCTTGGAGCATAGAGAATGAGCCAGCAAAGCCTGCATTTTCCTGTCAGTGGGATCGACTGAATCATAATCGTGAAGGTCACTTGTGGGGGAGGCCTTGGTATTTCATCCCTTCTGGACTATTTTGTGAGCAGTTCTTATTTTTGTTTTGTTTTTTAATAACCCCAGCGCAACATGTTTTACTCAGGTTTAGAGGCGATGAAATTTTACAGGTTGTGGTCTGTTTTGGTGGCCTTGTATTTACTCTATAAAAGATGGAAAGACTCTTGTTTGTTTAGGGCTTGGGGGAGGAGCTAAATTGTGTGTTGTTTTTCTACGTCCTTTATTTCAAGTCCTTCTAGCTCTGAGCTAATGCTCTTTGGCTATTGAGTATTAACTTCCGCGCATCCTTAGGTGGGTGCACCCTGGGAGGACAGACAGCGAGGAGAGGGAGAGAAAAATGAGGCCACTGCCATTATTAGTAGTTTTTACTTATAACAGAGACTTTGATGTTTTTGTTAGTTTAAAAGACCCAGCCTAGCCTATTAGTGCTCTATTGTTTTATGATGTTAAAGTTAGCCCATCCCTGGCAGGTCTCTTTGCCTTTGTCTGATCTTGAAAGCTTCTTGAGACTCAGCCCGACTACACTGAGGAGGGGAGTGGGAGGAAAGTGAGTCAAACGCCTTTCGGGTTTTTATTTTTTTATTTTGTAATGAGGCATTGATCTTTAGGTAAGGCCTGGATTAAAGTTACTTGAGCAGGAAAGGCTATAAAATTACTAACCTTCTGAGATAATTCTGTGTCACCCTGTTCCACAGGCATCCCCTAGTGACTTAGTGGAAATCCACGGCCACCTGGCAGGCCAGTGCATCACTCAGGTGCCCATTTCTCAAAAACTGTGTGGTTTGGGGGAGTGGGCATGTTATTAGTAGAAGCATGGATTAGAGAAATAGAACGTCAGCCTGCATTATATGTCAAGATGTAGAAAGAATGTTGATTTATGTGTCTAAGGAGACATTTTACTCAGAGACCAGTGGGACGGGGGAGGTTTGCATTCAGGAGCTGGTTTACCATTAGTTTGGCCTTTATATTTATGTAGCCGTGCTGTGTGTGTGCTCCTGTGTAAGTTATGAGGGCAGGACCCTTCAAGCTGGAGCACATCCCTGCCCTATGGAGTTCGGGGCCACCTCCCTTCCCAGAGGGGCACTGACAGGTCATCCTTGAGGACTCCTCACCTCTGGTTCAGAGTTAGTAAGCCCAGGGGTCTGCGTGGCCATGTCTTGTGTCTTTCTCTCTCCTTAGTGCTGCTCCTGGCTTTTTCTTCTGGGTTCTGTGAGTCTTCTGGACTATTGTCCAGCCTGATTAGCCTTTGAATAAAATCCAAAACCACCTCGTGGACATGTGCCCCACCAGAATGACTCTAGTTTTCTGTTTCTGTAATTAAAAATGTAAGTCCTTACATAAATTAAGCAATTAAAAAGAAGGACAAAGAGCTTAACTGTAGCTCTGACAGCATTATGTGTCCTTAGTAACTTCCTGCGATTTTAAGGTGGCACTGAGCACTTCCAGACACCATCTCAGTTGATGGTTTCCTAATGGAATGTGGTCCACAGAGGTCACACGCCTCACCCAGGGCCTCAGAGCCAAGACACAAACAGTAACTGCCTGATTAAAAAGCCACCAAAGGGCCAGGGGCAGTGGCCCAAGCTTGTAATCCCAGCACTCTGGGAGGCCAAGGCGAGTGGATTGCCGGAATTCACAGGTTTGAGACAAGCCTGAGCAAGAGTGAGACCCCCATCTCTAAAGATAGCCAGACATTGTGGTGGGCGCCTGTAGTCCCAGCTACTAGAGAGACTGAGGCAAGAGAACTGCTGAAGCCTAAGAGTCTGAGGTTGCTGTGAGCTATGATGCCATGGCACTCTACCAAGGGCAACAAAGTGAGACTCTGTCTCAAAAATAAATTAATTAATCAATTAATTAAAAAAATAAAAAGCCATCGAGTTTTACCAAGTAATCGTCCTCCCAGTACTGTGTCCATGTGAAATCAGAGTTGAAGATAACTGTCATTGTGCTTGGCCTTGGAAACCTTCCACCACACCTCTGCACAGATTCCTTCCCAGCTTACCACACTCCCCATGGAGAAACCAGGGGCCTCCCTGCCCCCAGTTTTGAACATTCCATTATGTGGTATGTATTTAAATTTTATTTCCTAAAGTACGGACAACTTCTTACTCAAAGTCATGTTGAAGACAGAAAGGAAAGTTAGACGCCTTTCATGGCATGTACTGTGGTGACCGTGATCATACATTTTTATATTACTACAAAAGAGTTGATTTATTTGTTTTTTTGAGAAAGACTCTCTCTCTGTCCCCTTGGGTAGGATGTGGTGGCATCATCATAGTTCACAGCAACCTCCTACTCCTGGGCTCAAGCGCCTCCCAGAACGGTGGGGTTAGAGGCATGTGCCCCTGTGTCTGCCATGCAAGTAGATTGTTAGGGCCCCATAAGACCCGCACAGGCTCTTCCCTCTGCTTTGGTTTTTGGGTCAAGTAGAAACCCACCTCCTCTCACGTGTGTGGTGCTTCCTGCCTTCTGTGGTACAGTCTGGGCACCTGCTGCCGTGACCAGGTTGCCTGTCTAGAGAGTGTGACCGTCACCTGCTTTCCTGATCTATGCTGGTCTCCTTTTCTCTGATTGATTGGCATTGGTGGCAGTGACTGCTGACAGAAGGTTTTAGTCTTGCGTGCCCTACATGTCCTTAAGAGTATTAGAGGATAGAAGAAAGTGCCCATTTATACAAACCTTAGGAAGAAAGAAAATTTTTTGAACCTTTCCAAATACCTTAATTTTTCTGTTTAAACTCAGTTCTTGTGCTCAGTTGGACCCGTCACTCAGAGGTCGCTCACGTGATAGGAGGTGATAAGCACAGGTGCGTGGTCAGAGGTATCTGTGGATCACCAGAGGGGTGTTAATCAGCCGCGTGCAGGCTTCTACTGAGTATTGGTGCTTAGGGCAAGCGTGTGCTTACCTTGGCACAGGCAGTGCCTGGCACTCCCTTTCTCATTCCTCCTGCGTGTCAGTTCCATGCTGGAGACCGTGGACAATGGCAATCTTCTCGGGGAGTGTTCCTACCTGAACCAGTGGGTTACTAATGGTGGTGATTGGTCAGGTACCTAACTATCCATGGTCACTACCAGAATCCATGAAGCACCTATGAATTTTGCCAGGTGGCTTGAGGCCTGCTTATGCATAAGGATAAACATAATTTTTGCAGTTAAAGAGAAAGGATTTTTTTGCCCCTGGGTGGAAAAAGCCCAGATGCATACTGGTGCTTAGTCAACTTAAAATGAATCTTAGGTGAAGACAGCCTGAATGGGGTGTCTGTAGTTTCTAACATTAAAGCTCAATTGTGGGCATTGTTGGTCCTTGGCGAGGGCAGAGGGGACCCTGCATGACTGTGAAACAGCTAGTGAGGAATGCTGTGCAAGCATTTCACCATCTGAGAGTCAGGATGACATTGGGACATCCCCAGGCTCATGCCAAGAGGCCTTTCTGTTCAGAATACGTCAGGACTCACTCCTGTGTCCATATGAACCTAAAAACATTTCGCATGAGCGTGCTTTCTAGATTGTGCTCTGGAGACCTGGGTGTGTCCAACATCAGACAGCAAGCTCTACACTGTGTTCTGGAAACATTCCCTACTAGGGCCTCCTCTAGCAGCTCTGAGTGCGGGGTCCCCACATGGACAGTGGGGAGCTCTGCGCCCAGGTTGGCAGCTGCTGCAGCTCTGTACTCACCATATTGTGTTCCTCATCTCAGAGATCTCCTTCCGCGTGTGGCAGTGTGGTGGCAGCCTGGAGATCATCCCGTGCAGCCGCGTGGGTCACGTGTTCCGGAAGCAACACCCCTACACCTTCCCAGGGGGCAGTGGCACTGTCTTTGCCCGGTAAGTGGTGAGAGGATGAGCAGGACCAGAGCAGGGCTGACCACCCTGAGACAGGACTTGGCCTTGGGCTGCTGGGGAGCAGGTGTCCTTCAGTGGGTGTGTGACGTTCATACAACACAAGCCAATTAGTAATGGAGAGGAGCACACCCCTGACATGGCACAGGTGCACAGGATGTCACATGGGGAGCAGGCGGTCACATACATGCTTCCACATGCTCGATAGTCTCAGGCACAACTTCAGTGATGGCGGACAAACTAAGGGGTGGACAGGGCTTGGGGAGGGAGAGCACAGCTGAAAGTAGCAGTAAGTATGTTTGAAGTGGGGGGATTACTCTGTCTCTTGATTATGGTGGCAATTGTGCAAATCTTCGTTTGTGAATGTTCTTAGAATTGTATACCCTGAAAATGTTATAGGAAGTAAGAAAATGTGTTTTTGTACTATATCTCACCATTTAAGGCACATAAAAACAGTATTGTTTTAAGTTAATTCTGTCCTGCTGTAACAGAACACCATAGACTACCGGTAATTTATAATGGGCACACATTCAGTGTCTCAGAGTTTGGGAGGCTGGGAGGTTGGATATTGTTTGCTGGGGTCTTGCGTTGACCTTCGTGCTACATGAACACCTGGTGGAAGGGCAGAGAGGAGAGCGGCTGGGAGCCAGCAGGAGGGAGCCAGACACACCCGTCCACATGTGGGACGGTGAGGTTCCAGCAATGAGGCTGCAGCAGTCTTGGCCCTAAGCACATCAGAAGGTCTCAGCTCTTAATGCTGTTACAATGACAATTAGGACATTAGTTTTGGATGCGATAGACATTCAAACCATAGCAAGTACCACATCTTAACCAAAAAGACAACTTGCTGTGGAGCTGAGTTAGGGATGGGTAACAAATGTGTCTTAGTAGCAGGAGGATGCCACACGAAGGGCTTTCTGGACAAAAACTTGGCACATTGTTATTCTGTTGGATCAAATATTTTCTTTTTTTTTTTTTTTTTTTTAAACAGGAAGGTGGAAATCTCTTTATTTATGTACAGTGGGGGACCGTTGATGGAGCAAATATTTTCCTAGAGCAGCGGTTGTCAACAGTGGGTCCCAACCCCTGTGGACTGTTATTAAAGGTTCAGGCATTAAGAAGGTTGAGAACCACTGTCCTAGAGAATTCTATTAAATGCCAACAGCAAAACAGTGTGACAAGTCAGACCTTGGGGAGGTTACCTCTGGTTGGGGTAGACGGTGAAACACATAGCTAAATAAGGTATTTCAAATACTCTCAAATACTGTGATGAGACAGAATGGTGTCATGTGGCGGAGCATGACAAGGACAGTGGGGGAGGTTTGCAGCATCGAGGGCATGTGAAGAGACCCTCTGGGGTGAGAAATGGGAAGTTGGACCTGATAGATGGGGAGGAGGTGGTGAGGACCAGAGGACCTGGACTTCCTGCAGGAGGAGCAGGTACCGCTACTGAGATAAGGGTGTCCCAGCACGTCCATGAAGCAGGAGAAAGCTAAGAGTGGTTGGAGCCTAGGGACTAAAGGGGCAGGGGCGGGAGAGCTGGACAGGTCAAGGACTGTGCACCTTGGCAGGTCATGGGAAAGTTTGGGTGACATTTGATTCTGGAGGAAGCCATTGGGGATTTTAAGTGGGTGCCTACTGCTTTGTTTTATGCTTTGGAAAGGTCCTTCTAGCTGCTGGTAGAGGGTAGCAAGGAAGTGGCACTATGGTGAGGCAGTGGTGCAAATGCCCCTCTACTGAGAGTGCCAGAGGTCGGAGGAAGACGCCTCTGAGAGAAGACATAGGCATGTGCCCCATAACAATGTTTTCTCAATAAGGTTTGTCCCGTAACTTTGTAACACTGTATTTTCACTGTACTTTTTCTGTGCTTAGATGTTTTTAATACATCAGTGCTTCCCTTTGTGCTACAGCTGCCAGCAGTACTTAGCAAAACAGGCTACTGCACAGGTACGTAGCCTGGGAGCAATAAGCTGTGCCCCACATCCCAGGTGTGTGGCGGTGTGTGCCACCTAGGTAGTGTGCACAGTGACAAAATCACCGAACAAAGTATTTCTCAGAGTGGATCCCCATCTAAGCAATGCCAGACTGTGCCTGGAGTAGGTGTGTAGCAGTGGAGAGGGGTCAGATCTGGCTCCATCGTGAGGCAGGCAGTGTTTGCCAGTGTGTGGTGGAAACTAAGGAGGTCCATCCGCCCTGTGGGTGGGCGAGTGTGGTTACTCAGCTCTGCTGGCAAGTTGCCCCTGCAGGGATAGGAAGGGGGATGGGGGAGTTACTGTCTTATCTTTTATATAGTATTTTTAAACTTCTATTAAGTAATTACTGATACATATGTTACACATAAGTTAAATTTTTACCTGATTTCTAAGGAAACTTTAAACAAAAGCCAGAATAAAAAATAATGCTCAACCAAATTACATTCTCTAAAGAAGTATAGCTTTTCACGAATATTTTCTATGCTTTGATTTTGTTTTTTATTTTAAAAAAATGATATTATTTTTACTGCTGTTTTACAAACATCAATATGTGCTTTTTCCCAGGAGTAATAGGGGAATCTTTCCAGAAAGCTCTTAGATAAACATCCAATACCCCAAGTCAAAGCCGTTGATGTATCTTAGCAAACAGTAAGGTTTCAGAAAACAATGTATTAAAATACACAAGGTAGCACACTCTTTGTTGGAGGAGAAACAGTCTTAATTGTATTTCATAGCTGAGGAGCTTATATAGAGAGATGTGAAGAGGAAATTCACCCAGAGCCTCCGTACTTGGAGCAGCAGGTCTGTTGAAACACCTACTGTGGGCCTCCACCAACTTGTCTGAAGGACCGGGGGGGGG